TTCGTTATCAAGGCTTCCATATTTTTGATAACTTTGCCAGGTTGGGTACGTGCGAGATCATTGGTTCCGACATGGATGATGACTCTTCCATAACTGCTCTCCTCTTTCACACGTTCATCAAACTTCGCAGCAATCTGCTCGACATTTGCTCCACTGTATGAATGGCACAAGGTTCTTTTCTTTGCTGCTCTTGTCAGCTTCATATTGTCAATGTTCTTGACCATGGAGTCACCAATGACCAAGTCAATGCTCTCCTTGGATGACTCGTGGGTTGGCGTCCTTTCCTCTTCTTTTGCAGGTGAATCCATCTTTGGCTTTTCCTTGGCCACTTTCGGAGATTTCACGATCTTCTCCTGTTGTTTAGCACTGTAGTTAGATATTTGTGCGTTAACATCACTGTTTATCTGATTCCCATCACTTGCTTCCTCTTCATTCTCGTCATTGAGTGCTTCAAATCTGTTCTGACTTTGAGTTATGTTGTTATTAGCAGACTCGGTTACTTTTTTATCTGTAGATTTACTATGTTCGATCTTTGTCCATTCGCCTTGTTTAATGTCGAGAACACTTCTTATCACAGCGTTGTAATTTGATGTTTCTTCAACATTGATTTTTAACGCCTGTATTTCCGCCGCCATTTTATTATTGTCCTCGATAAGGGATTTTAACTTCGCGTCGATTTTCGCCATTTCAGATTCGCTATTTCCCCTGTCCTCGTCTTGTTTCTTTTTCATTTCGTTTACTCTAATTAGTAGATTGTTTAGTTCTTCCCTATAGTGTTCGCAATTACTGCAATTCTCATCTACAATTATGGTGCTTTGATTCCTTTCCGCGCCTTCCTCTTCAACAACAACAACACGCGGCGCCACGTGTTCGACTTCATTATTTTGGCAATCGTCGTTTTCTGGCATCGGTAGGGTCGCAGAGCTCTTCAGAGAGAAGAATAAATGGCTTTCGTCGTTATCTTGCATTACTGATAGTTTTTTCTCTGTTGAGCCATGTCATTTTAAGCAGAAATCGGGATTGCTAAATTGAATTGATTCACCGCATGCTCGAGCCGACGACCACCTTCCATCGATATGTAAATCGGTTTTCACAAACTCCTTCAATGACTCTAAGTCACCTTTCCAAAATAAATTGTCTTCCAAGATTTATAAGAAAGACGATTTTAACTTATTTTCAGTTGAACCATCATTTTCCTGTCGCCAATTTTTACAAATTCCGCAGCTCTGATTCAAGGTTGCTCACTATGAGGACAAAGTTTCTCACTCCGAGGACAATGTTTTTTACTCCGATGACAAGGTTCTTCCCGCTGAGGACAAGGTTCCTCACTCTGAGGACAAGTTTTTACACTCTAAGGACAATGTTTTTTAGTCCGATGACAAGGTTCCTCACACTGAAGACAAGGTTCCTTACTCTGAGGACAAAGTTTCTCACTCTGGCGACAAGGTTTCTCACTCTGAGGACAAGGTTTCTCACTCTGAGGACAAGGTTCCTCACCTTGAGGACAAGGTTCCTCATTCTGAGGACAAGGTTCTTTACTCTGAGGACATGGCTTTTCACTCTGAAGACAAGGTTCCTCACTTTGAGGACAAGGTTCTTCATTCTGAGTGCAAGGTCCTTCACTCTGAGGACAAGGTTCTTCATTCTGAGGACAAGGTTCTTGTTTCTGAGGACAAAGTTCTTCTCTCTGAGGACAAGGTTCCTCACTCTGAGAACAAGGCTCCTCGCTCAGAGGGCAAGGTTTCTCACTCTGAGCACAAGGTACCTCACTTTGAGGACAATGATCTTCATTCTGAGAAGAAGGTTCTTTACTCTGAGAACAAGGTTCTTCACTCTGAGGACAAGGATCCTCACAATGAGGAGAGGGTTCCTCACTTTGAGGACAAGGTTCTTCTTTCTGAGGAGAAGGTTCTTCACTCTGAGGACAAGGGTCTCCACTCCGAGGAAAAGGTTCATTACTCTGAGAACAAGGTTTCTCACCCTGAGGACAAGGTTCTTCACTCTGAGGACAAGGTTCTTCAATCTGAAGACAAAGGTTCTTCACTCTGAGGACAAGGTTCTTTACTGTGAGGACGAAATTCTTCACTCTGAGGACAAGGTTCATCACTCTGAGGACAAGGTTCTTCACTCTCAGGACAAGGATCCTAACAAAGAGGACAAGGTTCCTCACCTTAAGGACAAGTTTCTTCTTTCTAAGGACAAGGTTCTTCACTCTGAGGACAAAGTTCTCCACTCTGAGGAATAGGTTCTTCGCTCTGAGGACAAGGTTCCTGAAACTGAAGAGAATGTTCTTCACTCTGAGGACAAGGTTTCTCACCCTGAGGACAATGTTCTTCACTCTGTGGACAAGGTTCTTCATTCTGAAGGCAAGGTTCTTCACTCTGAGGAGAAGGTTCTTCACTCTAAGGACAAGGTTCTTTACTGTGAGGACAAAGTTCTTCACTCTGAGGACAAGGACCCTCACAATGAGGACAAGTTTCTCACTTTGAGGAAAAGGTTCTTTTTTCTGAGGGCAAGGTTTCTCACCCGGAGGACAAGGTTCTTCACTCTGAAGACAAGGTTGTTCATTCTGAGGCCAAAGTTCTTCACTCTGAGGTCAAGGTTCTTTACTGTGAGGACAACGTTCTTCACTCTGAGGACATGGTGCTTCACTCTGAGGACAAGGTTCTTCATTCTGAGGACAAGGTTCCTCACTCTGAGGACAAGGTTCTTCACTCTGAGGACAAGATTCCTCACCCTGAGTACAAGGTTCTTCACCCTGAGTACAACGTTCTTTAGTCTGAGGACAAGGTTCTTCACCCTGAGGACAAGTTTCCTCACAATGAGGACAAGGTTCCCCACTTTGAGGACAAGGTTCTTCTTTCTGAGGACAAGGTTCTTCACTCTGAGGAAGAGGTTCTCCACTCTGAGGAAAAGGTTCTTCACTCTGAGGACAATGTTCCTGAAACTGAAAACAAGTTTCTTCACTCTGAGCACAAGGTTTCTCACCCTGAGGACAAGGTTCTTCACTCTGAGGAGAAGGTTTCTCACTCTGAGGAGAAGGTGCGTCACTGTGAGGACAATGTTCCTCGCACTGAGGACAAGTTTCTTCACTCTGAGGTGAAGGTTCCTCACACGGAGGACATCGTTCCTCACTCTGAGGACAAGGTTTCTCAGTCTGAGGACACGGTACCTCACTTTCAGGACAAGGTTTTCATTCTGAGAATAAGGTTCCTTACTCTGACGACAAGTTTCTTCTTTCTGAGGACAAGGTTCTTCACTCTGACGACCTTATCTTCACTCTGAGGACAAGGTTCCTCACCCTGAGGACAAGGTTCTTCACTATTAGGATAAGGTTCTTCATTCGAAGGACAAGGTACGTTCCTCATTCTGAAGACAAGGTTCCTCACTCTGAGGACAAGGTTCCTCACTCTGAGGACAAGGTTCCTCACTCTGAGGACAAGGCTCCTCACTCTGAGGACAAAGTTCCTCACTCTGAGGACAAGATTCCTCATACTGAGGACGAGGTTCTTTATTCTAAGGACAAGGTTCCTCATTCTGAGAAGAAGGTTCCTCACTCTGAGGACAAGGTTCATCACTCTCAGGAAAGGGTTTCTCACTCTGAGGACAAGGTTCCTCACTTTGAGGCCAAGTTACTTCACCATGAGGACAAGGTTCTTTACTCTCAGAACAAGGTTCCTCACACTGAGTACAAGGTTTTTCTCTTTGAGGACAAGTTTCCTCACTCTGAGGACAAGGTTTCTCACTCTGAGGACAAGGTTTCTCACCCTGAGGGCAAGGTTCTTTACTCTGAGGACAAGGTTCTTCACTCTGAGGACAAGGTTCCTCACACTGAGGACAAGGTTCTTCATTCTGAGGACAAGGTACCTCACTCTGAGGACAAGGTTCCTCACTCTGAGGACAAGGTTTCTCAATTGGAGGACATAAGACTCAGACTTGTGTCGAATATTATGCTCAACATATAAACGAACATATTTGCTTATCATATTGTTCTTCTGTACATATTCTCTCTGTTCCTCGCATATTATTTTATTGCAGTACTTCTAGTTACAAATTATTTGTTTGTCATTGTATATGTAGATTTGTATTTGATAATATTTTGTTTCACGATCCTATAATGATACCCTTACAAAACCAAATTATATTTGGGACATATATGGACCAACTATGGGATTGATATGGTTCAACCTATGGGCCATATATGGGAAGTGTATGGCTTTGGTGTGGCCTGGTTGCCTTCATAGCATACCCATATCATGTTTTTGATATGGGTTTGATACGTATTTGGTACAAATCCATACATATCCCATATGACTTACTATGGGAAATACATGGGTTCCTTATATCATTTCAGAACAACTTTGCTATGGGTAAGATAGGATTCTATATGGGAATGATCTGGGAACATGATATGGAATTCATATGGTTCTTGATGTATAAACTATGGGATTGATATGGTTCAACCTATGGGCCATATATGGGAAGTATATGGCTTTGGTGTGGCCTGGTTGCCTTCATAGCATACCCATATCATGTTTTTGATATGGGTTTGATACGTATTTGGTACAAATCCATACATATCCCATATCACTTACTATGGGAAATACATGGGTTCCTTATATCATTTCATAACAACTTTGCTATGGGTAAGATAGGATTCTATATGGGAATGATCTGGGAACATGATATGGAATTCATATGGTTCTTGATGTATAAACTATGGGAATGATATGGGTGCAACAATTATCATATTATATTGGGAATGGTATGGGCACTTGTTTTCATCCCATACCAAACCCATATTAACATCTAACATCCAAATGCTAGATGCTAACACGTGTGGGTTTGGTATGGGATGAAAACAAGTGGCCATACCATTCCAAATATACTTGCTACAGCTCAAGAAAATTGTACTGGTGGCATACATAGTTTTATTAACATGCAAAAAATCTTCAAAAACACAATACACAAATAAATAACATAGTTAGCTAATAAATAAACAAATAATTACAAAATTGCTAACTAATTTACTATTTCTTAATGAACTTGCAAAGTTTGTCTAACTAAATTACCATGGTATAACTATATATACAAACATGCAATAATGTCAATTGCTAAGTGCTTATTGATCTATATAAATGTATCGGTATCTATAATGTCCTCAGTCCTCTCAACTTGTGGGCTTGACTACAGACTATTCAAACTCTTTGTGAACGCCTGGCTTCTACACTTTTCATGTTTATTTTTTGTATCATCTGACTTGGTGTAGGCCCTTCACGACCAGAGCAATATGCCCACTGGTCGCAATTCCAGAACATGACAGATCCTTCTACAACTTCTATCATCTGCAGGACGAAATAAATCAAATGTCAAGATTTTGCCAGATTTGACAAAAATGATTATACTGACAGACAATTTATACCCTATATTCTGCAGCCAAATTTCCATCAAGCATTTTTGCACCAAATTTATTATTTTACTCTGTCTAACGGAAAACAACTTTACTCTGTCAAATGCCAAATCATTATGTTTTACTATATGTCTAATGACAGACAATTTTATTTGTTAAGTGGAGAGTCTGGAACATTAATGGAACAAATATTTAATAAAATAACAAAGTACTAAAAGTAGGGCAGATTGCTTCTAAATATGCCAACACAGCAGCTTTTGCGGTTAATTATTAACCTTTCAATAACCAACCACTCATCTTGATGAGTAAAATCATCTGATAACTAACTATCAAAGTACTGAAGGTGGGGAGTGTTAGGATGAATTGCATCTAAATGTGTTAACAACAAACAATGCAAAATAGTCTGGTGTCAGACAGGCCAAAATATTGAGCTTTGAAATAGAGAAGATTAGTGTGAATTGGGTCTTAATGAGTTTACACATAACACAGGGGAACAGCGAGATCAGTGGCGTAACTACTATGGGCTCGGACCGGGAGAACCCGGGGGCCCCAACCCCAACGGGGGCCCCAACCCCAACGGGGGCCCCAACCCCAACGGGGGCCCCAACCCCAACTGGGGCCCCAACCCCAACGGGGGCCCCCAGGCTCAGGCTATAGCTTATAGAGCAACAATGCCATTCTCTGACCATCAGAATTCTGTAAAATCTTTCCCCAAAGTCTGGGAAATGGCATTTCAGAGAGTCTAGATTCAAATATTTTCTGGGTGAGCATGCTCTGGACCCACTAGAAAACTTGTGCATATACGGCGCTCGACTTGTGGCTCTGGCAATTTTACTAGGGGGGCCTTCGAAAAGTTTGAACCGGGGCCCCTTGATATAACGTTACGGCACTGAGCAAGATAACCTATCAAAGTTGTCCACTCTCTTTCACAAGTAAAATATTTGATCTGGTGTTAGACAAGGTAAAATAAAAAAGTACTGAAAGTTCAGCATATTCATCCTAACGAGTTAGTGCGAAATGTAAGTAAAGAGTCTCGTTAACTTGAATATACCATCACATAGTTAAATATTAATTTCATAAAAACTATGGAGAATTTTCCTGGCATTACACTAAGGCTAACATATTTTAATTCATATTGACTGGTGCAATTACACCTCTCCCAATGAAATATCAATTTTAATTTGATATCAGAATCTTAGGAAGGTTGCTGCTGATTTGAGCAAGTAGATAAATTTTCAAACTATATGTAATATGAGCATATAGATTACTATATAGTCTATATGTATAGGCATGCTTAATGTCTGCAATTAATCTTGCATATACAGTTTA